AGAGGCAGAGACATAGGCAGAGGGAGAAGCAGGCTCCCCAGAGGGAGCCCGATATGGGACTCAATCCCCGAACCTAGGATCACACCCTGAGTGGAAGGCAGGCACTCAACTACTGAGCCACTCGGGCATCCCAAACATTGTATCTTTTAAATACATATTTAGGGACACTGGGTGGCTCAGCGGTTAAGCATCTGCCTTCTGCTCAGGGCGTGATCCTGGGGTCAGGATGGAGTCCCACATCGGGCTCCCTGCATGGAGCCTGCTTCTCCCTCTGCGTATGTCTCTGCCTTTCTCTCTCTCTGTGTGTCTCATGAATAAATAAATAAAACCTTTTTTTAAAAAACTATATTTAGCTTTGTAGGTCTTGAGGCTTTCTAGAAACATTACATTGTACTTTCTCACAAATGGCTTTAGTTTTTGCTCAATATGATGTTTTTAGATATATCCATATTGACCCATGTACCTGTAGTGACTTCTTTTCCCTTCCTATATGGTATGTTACTATATGAATATATCATAATTTATTCATTCATTCTGTTGATGAACATTAGGTTACTTCATATATGTATGTATATGTATGTTGTTATCACAAACTACATGATTATTTTTATGCACATATGCTAGAGTTTCTGTAGGTTGTATGCTTGGGAGTGGCATTGCTTGGCTAAAGGGGGCACATGCCTCTTTGACATTACTAGATCTCATTAACTTGCTGCCTGGAGCAGCTGGCCTGGTCTAGAGTCCTAATAGCATTAGGTAGGAGTTCTTGTGGCACCAGATGCTCATCAACATTTTATACATACTTTTTTACATAGTCCTTTTTAATTTTTGCAGCCTAATAGCTGCAAAATAGTGTGTCGCCATAGTTTTTTTGTTTTTTGTTTTTTTAATTTTTAGGGGCACCTGGGTGGCTCCGTTTGGTAAGTGTCTGCCTACGGCTCAGATCACCGTTGGGTAAGTGTCTGCCTTCGGCTCAGATCATGATCCCAGGGTCCTGGGATTGAGCTTCACGTCAGGCTCCCTGCATGGAGCTTGCTTCTCCTTCTGCCTGTCTCTCTCTCTCTCTGTGTGTCTGTCATGAATGAATAAATAAAATCTTTTAAAAAAAGAGAGACTTAAATGAGTTAATGTTTGTAAAGAACTCAAAAGTGTCTGGTATGTAGTATTATGTGAGTACTTCTTAAATAAAAATGGGTAGAATTACAACCATACCATTTGGATGGTGTGTTCCTATTACCCCCAGTTGGGAAGCATGGAATCCACAGAGCTGAGCAATGGTTCAGAGAAGAGTCATTAACATTTTATCTATTTATAGCCAAATCCATCCAGAGGTATAGAATGTCCTCAGATCGGAGGTAGAAATTGGGAGATAGGGAGATATAATCACTTTTTTGCATTTAGTACACAAAATAGGTCTCATTTCTTTTTTTAAAAGATCTGGTATTGTGTGCTACATTTACTAGGCAAGATCTAAACAAATTAGCCTAGAACCAACAGCAACATGCTTCATATCAAGTTCACAGATTATAAGGGAAACGCACTTTTCATTATTCATATAACTTGTCAGAATGGCCTCAACAATTTGGCACTATGACCTCTTCAATACAAGGACCATATCTTGTTCATTTCTGGTACCTGGCACAAAGGGAATGTTCAATCAGGCATGAGTGGTTGGGGAATGGAACTTCAAATTACTGTATCTTCTAAAGGTTTCCTAGGGCCATAATAGCATATTCCTTTCTTCCTGAAGCCCTTCCATTTTTATTTCACCAGGCTTGGAATCCTTTTAGGGGTCCTGCCTACAATACATTGATTATGAGATGTCTCTCCTTGACTATAATGTACAACGGAAGCCAAAGAAATAGTAAATTGGCTTCTACACGATGTAAGAGAGATGATTTTTCTCTCCATTCCCAATTTCTGACATTTGCAAAAAAGTCTGCAAATTAACACAGCTCAACAGCATGTTCTAAGTCTTAGCCATAGACAAGCTATGGAAACAGAGATGGGGGGATCCCTGGGTGGCTCAGCAGTTTAGCGCCGGCCTTTGACCTGGGGCATGATCCTGGAGTCCTGGGATCAAGTCCCGCATCAGGCTCCCTGCATGGAGCCTGCTTCTCCCTCTGCCTGTGTCTCTGCCTCTCTCTTTCTCTCTCTCTCTCATGAATAAATAGATAAAATATTTTTTTAAAAACAAAAAAAAAGAAGCTTACATTTTGGTGGGAAAGACACACATTAAAAAAAAGAAGAAGAAACAGAGATGAAAGAGAGGTAAATCCCAGCCCTGCCTCCTGAAGAACTTCTAGTTGAGTAATGAAAACAGAAACCCAGAACTTCAGAATATTCATCCCCCTTAAAAAAAAAAAGAACATTCATCCCCCTTGTAATTATAATTATTTAATACTCACCTTTTCCCTGCACAGTAATGAGGACAAATCAGAGTCTCTTTACCACTATATCCCTAGCAGTGTCTGCCACTTAAAACACCCAGTATTTGTCAAATATTTATTGTCAAATATTGTATCAAGACTATCAAGGATTCACAATGGGCTCACTGCAGTATTAGCAGAGTATTTTAGACACCCTGCCTTTATATTGTATGTGGAGTATGCTGTGTGTTGAAAGAGAAACCTTCAGTAGGAGCTGATCATTGATTATCAAAGTTGTGGGGTTCTTTTTCCAAAGTGATAAAATTTTGGTTAGCAAGCCTTCTGCGTAGGAAGCACCTTTGCTACTGGAAAGTTAAAAGGGGCCAGGAAATGATACAAAACAGTATTTGTTTTTGATTCTAAGTTTTATTTTTTTTTAATTCTATTTAATTAATTAATTAATTTGAGAGAGCAATCGAGAGACCACATGAGCAGGGGGAGGGGAAAGGGCAAAGGGAGAGAGAGAAGCAGACTCCCTGCAGAGCAGGAAGCCTGATGAAGGCTCACCCAGGACCCTGAGATCAGGACCTGAGCCCAAAGCAGCTGCCTAACCAACTGAGCCACCTAGGCACCCCTGATTTTAAGTTTTATTTTTTTTTTATTTATTTTTTTTGTTTTATTTATTTATGATAGGCACACAGTGAGAGAGAGAGAGGCAGAGACATAGGCAGAGGGAGAAGCAGGCTCCATACACCGGGAGCCCGATGTGAGATTCGATCACGGGTCTCCAGGATCGCGCCCTGGGCCAAAGGCAGGCTCCAAACCGCTGCGCCACCCAGGGATCCCCTGATTTTAAGTTTTAAAGAGGAAGGGTATAGTATGACTCAAAGTCAAGAACCATAGTATACCAAAACAAAACAAGAGGAAGGGTATAGGGAGCCACAAAATTTCATGGTTCTAATGAAACTAGAAAGGCAGTCAGGGCATAAGTCAGAATGGAATACAGATTGTACCTCCTGCCCCAGAGAATGCCCTGCAGTCTTTCTGTCTGAGGAAGTGAAATGTACCAGCAGCAGGCCACAGGAATTTGGTAAAGATGAATACCAGCAGGGTGGCCTTGTTAAGGTGTTTGTATCTCTTAAAATTCTGACTCTGCTCTTTACTTTCCCCTTGCTTCAGAGCACTACAACCACCAATGGCTTAGATCTTCTTGAGAGCTGTTTATCCAAACTGAATTTTTTTCTTTACTAAATACCCTGAGCTTTTCATGCCCCTGTAAAAACTCAACCTCTCTCTTCCTTGTTTTCAAAAAGAACATTAAAAAAAGAGAAAAAAGACAGAGCTCTCAAATAGTAAGATATACAGGCTTTTGTTTTTATGCCTACTAATATCTTTTGTCTTCAAAAATATAACCTCATTACAGGCACTAAGCATATTTTTGTGGACCCTCAATGTGGACAGGGATCACTTTTTATATTTATTTTATTACTCCCAATAAGCCTAGCTCAGTGCCAAGCAAATAGTAAGCACTCAGACAGCCATGGTACAGGTAACAAACCTAACACACTGTACACTCTTTAAGATAAGGGCAGCCCAGGTGGCTCAGCGGTTTAGCACCGCCTTCAGCCCAGGGCCTGATCCTGCAGACCCGGAATTGAGTCCCGCATCAGACTCCTGGTGAGGAGCCTGCTTCTCCCTCTGCCTGTGTCTCTGTCTCTGTCTCTCTCTCTCTCTCTGTGTCTCTTATGAATAAATAAATCTTAAAAAAAAAAAAGATAAAATAAAAATTGAAATTAAGAATTACATGTGTTCATTTCTCTTGTTTTCCAATATATAGAGTACCCTATTTGGATGCCCTTAAAAGCTCTTAACTACACTTTATTTTTTTATTTTTCAAAGATTTTGTTTATTCATGAAAGACACAGAGAGAGGCAGAGACATAGGCAGAGGAAGAAGCAGGCTCCCCACAGGGAGCCTAATGCAGGACTGGATTCCAGGACCCCTGGATCATGACCTGAGCCAAAGGCAGATGCTCAACCACTGAGCTACCCAGGTGCCCCACCACACTTTAACTGCCTATTTAGATTAGGTCTTTAAATTTGTTCCATGAAAAAATAACATACTGCAACTTATGAAATGACAAAAATAATATGTTTCAAAAAGAAGGCTCTGACAAAATTTTGGTAATTCAATACAAGGGTATTTTTATCATTTATCTAGAAGTACAACTCAGTATTCAGTTTATTTTGCAATAGCTATCTCTTTACCTGATACTCAATACCCAAACATCAACAAATTAATTTTTATTAAAAAATCTTTTTAACAAATTATTAATTTTTTAAAATTAAGGTTTTTTTCTTAAATTTGTACAGATGAAGAAAAGTAACACACTGGACAAGTTATTATGTATAGTCTCAGGCTTACATGGAATTGTGACTGCCTTCAACAATTAATAAAATTTGTTTTCAAAGATCTTCATACTAAGATATGTTTGTCTATGTAGCCTACTGAAGACAGCCAGATATGTGGCATTCTCAAGACAGCACATAACTACTAAATGTAATGCCACAAACCAACTTACTTTCTTTAAAACTTCACTAAGTAATTCCAAGGAGTACAATTAAACATTTTAGGTTCCTAATGTTCATCCTAAAAATTAGGTGGTCTTTTTGGACTTTTTCTTCTCTGCTTCTTCCTTTTCCTTTTCTATTTCTGTTACTTGTAATTCAATTTCTTTGGCACTAAACATCTGAAAAGAAAATATTTTAAAAAGCAAATTTCAATTATACCAGTAATTTCTAAATCCAATATGGAGGAACCAATTATATCTTATACATTTATATTTTCTATTTAAATTTTAATTTTATATCTTCAAAAATATGAATATATATATAAGCAAAATACTTATAACAAATATGTACAAAATCTGAATTCTGATATTTCCACTATCATTGTGCTAAGAAAGCAGGGCAAAGTGTTATATTGCATTACATATCCTAAATATGCATATAACTCTGAAACATTTTAATGCAGGCTTATTCTATTTATGAGTAAGTAACTCATTATTTAACTCCCCCTCTCTACCCAATTGTGTGATTCTGATAGGGTTTTGCCTATTTTATCAGCCATTAGAATAGCTACAGAAGTAGTGAAAAGATGACTTACACTGCTTTGTTTACAACTCCTTAAATATAAAGCAAAAATATATTTTATTTTATATAAATCAATTTTATTATATTTAAAATTAAAGATGGGAGCAACTTGCTCAAGGGTATACTATTAAACATCAATTTGCTGGAACTTAGGTCTAACTCTAAATTTAAACCCAAGTCTATCCAATTCCAAAGCATATACCCTATTTGCCACACAGCGTATCCTGAAATAGCACGTGGGTTGGCGGTCTAACTTTGCTGCCAGTGCACATATCATCCTACCGCACATTAGTAAGAAATATATGCATGACTGGTGTGTATATTCATGTGGGTATGTATTATATGTGTATATGATGGAGCTGGAAAGGTGACCCTGGCCTCGGTGGTTTTGTGTCTTTGTAGTGTTGGCATATCTATCCTGAGACCCTTAACAGCAGGGGTGACAACACAGCCCAGTTCTCTCCACATGCTGTGATCAGCACCACGATTTTTGTGGGGCCATGCAGGGGCAGAACCTACACTCCACTCCCCATTTTTCTAACTCCCCATATCCCCATCTACTAGTTGACTAGTCAAAAGTGGGAATGTGGTGTTAAAACAATGTAACAACTCAAAAAACAAAAACCCTACTGCTCCATCCAACACTGATTTTAATATTATTTCCTCTTGAAATATTTCCTTCAAAACAAAGGTATATGTAAAATAATATTTTTATTTTTTATTTATTTTTTTAAGATTTTATTTATTTATTCATGAGAGACACACACAGAGAGAAAGGCAGAGACACAGGCAGAGGGAGAAGCAGGCTCCATGCAGGGAGCCCAATGTGGGACTCGATTCCGGGTCTCCAGGATCACACCCTGGGCTGAAGGCAGCACTAAACCGTGAGCCACCCAGGCTGCCCAAAATAATACTTTTTAAATAAGATTTTATTTATTTATTTGCCAGAGAGAGGGGGAGAGAGCATAAGCAGGAGGGAAGAGCAAGGGGAGAGGGAGGAGCAGGCTCCCCGCTGAGCAGGGAGCCCTATGTGGGACTCAATCTTAGGACCCTGACCTGAGCTGAAGGCAGATGCTTAACCGACTGAGCCACCCAGATACCCCTAAAATAATATTTTTAGTATACTTTTCATATAGTTTCCCATGCTTTAAGTGCTTTTTACAAGCTCAGAGATTTGGCAAAATATACCATGTACAGTTCTACCTAAGGAACAACAGTGAACCACGTTTCAAATGATCTTTAGCCAATGAGTCCTCTATCACAGTACTCTGGACGATTTACTTTGTGATTCAGCAGTTTTAACCCATAATGCTACCAAAAAGTATACAAAAAATAATGCTAGTCTTGCCACAAAGAAATACAGAAAGGTTATTACACTAGGTATTAAAATTTAAGTCTTAACAGAGGCTCAAGGCACTTTTAAGTGAAAAGAAGAGAACATAGATAAAAACTAGTAGCCAATCAAGGGATGGAGGCTTTTTGACATAATGAAGGATAATACTATGTAAGAAGCCTGGAGGCCCAACAATTATACAAATGATAGCTGAATGACACTGGCTGGAAGCATAACTTCATTTCAGAATATCTAAAAAGATAAGGATGGTAACGGCTCTCTACAGGAATACATTGTTTTAATTGTGCTTTTGCAGATACTGCATTTTTAATAAATTGCTGGGGTTTTATTATTTTTATTATTTTTTTAAGTAAGTTTTATGCCCAACATAGGGCTTGAGCTCACTATCCTGAGATCAAGAGTTGCATGCTTTAGGGAATCCCTGGGTGGCTCAGTGGTTTAGTGCTTTGGCACTAAACCGCTGAGCGTGATCCTGGAAACCTGGGATCGAGTCCCACGTCGGGCTCCCTGCATGGAGCCTAATTGTCCCTCTGCCTGTGCCTCTGCCTCTCTCTCTCTCTCTGTCTCTCATGAATAAATAAAATCTTAAAAAAAAAAAAAAAAGAGTTGCATGCTCTACCAACCTGCGTTTTCTACAAATTGAAAGTCTGTGGCAACCCTACATCAAGCAAGCTTATTTTGCACCCTTTTTCCAACAGCATTTGTTCACCTTGTATCTGTGTCACATTTTGGTAATTCTTGCAATATTTCAAATTTTTTCATTACTATTATATCTGTTGTGGTGATCTGTAATTGGTAATTATGACTCACTGACAGCTCAAATGCTAGGTAGCATTTTTTAGCACTGTATTTTTAAATTAAGATATGTATTTGTTTTTAGACTAATGCATACTTAAGAGACTACAGCATTGTGTAAATATAGCTTTTATATGCATTGGGAAACCAAAAAATTCATTTGACTTGCTTTTTTGCAGTATCGGCTTAATAACATAGTTGGAACTGAATCCTCAGTATCTCTAAGGTAGGCTTGTATGTGGGGCTGGGAATAAATCTCCAAAGATGATATATTATACCAATCCCATATATGACTACTCAGTAGGGGTTCTTACTTACAAGAATATATTCTAAATGGGGTTAGCCTACATATAGATTTCAGCTCCTCTAAGTCTTCACAAAGGACCAAGGATAGGTAACTGCTTGCACAAGCACATACAAATTAGTGGACATTAGCCTACAGAAACAAAACAGATGTCATCATAGTGTCAGTGGATGCTAATGGGTGTTTCAGGCTTTTAATGAAGATTCACAGGTGTCAACATTTTGACAAGATTCAACTGTTATCCAATTATTTTATGCTACAGATTTTTTTTTTCTCTTTGGTTAATGACTTACTTTCAAAGGCTGGTTTCTTCTTATTATAGCAAGTTCAATGTTTTTTCCACCAGACTGGACAACCTAATGTAGAACAAGCACAATATTAAAATTACTTCAGCACATTTTATTTTTAGTAAGGAAATAGATAAGAAAAAAAAACACTTGTTTTTCTGAGTATGTTTTATTAGGTCACTTACTTCTAGCAAAGCTCTTATTGCTAATTTGATAGCCTCATTGTCGTTTGCTATAGCATCTTCTGTGTAATTTTTTTCTAGAAATTCTCGGACTGTTTTAGCACTTCGGCCTATTGCATTTGCCTTGAAAAATACAAGGTAATTATTAATATCATTGCAATACAAATTAATTTATGGTCACTCAGTGAATTTCAGAGTTTACTGAGATATTTCTTACCAAATGAAAATTATAGTTTTTGAAAACTTAGGAAACATTTCAGCAGCTCATTTTGTTTCTATGTGAATAACATAGTCATGATTGCATGACTCATCTTCAAACATACCAATACCTTGTCCTGGTTAATGCCTTCTACTACTTTAATGGCTCTCAAGTCCTTGATAACCAGGGAAGACTGAAATAGTTGAAATTCAAAATATATACAGAGGAAAGGAGGTATGACTTTGCAATGTAGTAAAAAAGGAGGAAAGAAAGAGGAAAAAAAGGACATTGACCCAAAGAACAAAACTGTTTACATGAATAAGGACTGTGTTCTTAGAACTTGGAAAAAAATGGTCATCTAATTACTGATTCATTATCTTTGATTCTATAAGTGAGTAAAGATTCTTCTGTTCTATTCCTCATTTTTCTTTGTTCTTTAGAAATTTTCATCAGATGAAGGAAAGAGGCACATGTTTTTCCTGGCTGCATAACCACAGGTAGTATAGACATGTTTTTTTTTAATTTAGTCTAAATATCTAGGCAAGTATTAGTGATGATAATGATGATGATAAAGTAATTCTTATTAATAGAGCACTTATGTGCCAGACACTATGCTAAGCATTTTACATGGATTATTTCCATTAGCCAATGCTAAACAATTAAATTATTTCCTTTAGCCAGCACAAAAACAATAGTTACTACTACTAAGCCCAGTTCATGAGTGAAGAAATGGGGGCTTGAAAAGGTTAAAACAAGCTATCTCAACTTCAGTGCTATTAACATTTTAGCTGAATGATTTTTTGCTGTGGGGGGCTGTCTGGTACACTATAGGATGTTTAGCAGCCTCTATCCATTACATGCCAATAGCATCCCCACCCCAGTTGTGACAGACAACCAAACATGTCTCTAGATATTGCCAAGTGTCTCTTAGAGGGTAGAGAATCACCCTTATTTGTGAACCAGTGGCCTGAATAATATTGCCTAAGATCACAGATGGGATAAATAGAAGAGCTGAGCTTTGAAACCAAGTAGTCTGAATTGACATTCCAAGCTCTGAAGTCTATAAACTATGCTGCCACATGCCCCTTTGCTATAATGAGTGTAGAGAGAGGAAAGAACCAGCGGAAAGGCTCATGCTTTCACTGAAGGATCCCAGGACTGAATGAGCGAATGTCTCAGTTCTAACTAGCTATGGTTAGTATTATGATTATAGGAAAGAGATTTCAAAAGAGAGCATGAAAGCATACCTTTTGTACTGCATGACAGTATATTGTTCTGGTTAGCAGAAGATTATTTTTACTTCACAGAATTTTTTATATTCCTTTATATTTCAAAGGATTAAAAAAAACACCTGTGAAATTTTAAAATAAATGTTGTGGCCTTGAAATTTCGCTAAGATCAAAGACTATAAGATAGGAGTTTATCCAGAAATCTCACTGAGCCCTTAGAAGGTTACCTTATAAATTCCTGGTGACCTTCCTAATTCTTCTAAACGGTGGTGTAAAATTCTTTTTTTTTTTTTTTTTTTTTTTTTTTGGTGTAAAGTTCTTTAATTCTTACTTACTTGGCTGGTTCCCTAAAATCTTATTCTTGCCATACTTATATCCCCACCCTTCTTCCAAGTCTATCACCCACCCTAGCCCACTTCAACAGACTGTTAGTTTTGCGATTTTTTTTTCTGCCTACCTATAATGATTAATGATAATTTTCTATGGCAAAGATTATTAGCAGTCAACCCCCAAATCCATTCTTCCTTTGTGACAGAACTCTGGGCAGTGTGCCTGCTGAAAAGTGTCATTTCCTAGCGTCAGTTAATAGGAATATATAAGTAAAAATAAATGGGTGGAACTGTAGAAACTTTTGCTGCCTGGAATGCAGACAGGCTGGCTAGAGATCTGGTAGCCACAATGAGAGAGCATGGGCAAAGACTAAGATAATAAAAGAGACAAAAATAAATAAATAAATAAAAAATAAAAGAGACAAAAAGCAGCAACCATCTGTCTTCAAACTTATTACATGAGAAAAATAAATCTTTATGGGTTAAGAATCATCATATCTCTGTGGTTAAGAGCCAAAACAATACCTCACAGCTAAATCTTTGCATATCTTAAAGATATACAGAACAAAAATCGATGGGGCACTGGAATGGCTCAATCAGTTAAGTGTCTGCCTTTGGCTCAGGTCATGATCTCAGGGTCCTGGGATCACCCAGTGTAGGGCTCCTTGCTTAGTGGGGAGCTAACTTCTCCCTCTGCCCCTCCCCCCACTTGTGCTCTTTCTCTCTATCAAATAAATAAAAATCTTTTTAAAAAGAATAAAAATTGATAAAGAAGATCATTTTGGCAGGAATACTTTACTTATTTTCGGAATTTCTTAGCTGATGAGTAATACAATAGTTCTTCTTTATGTGATCTTATACAGAAAGTATGGAAGCCTGATGATTCTTGATCTTTCTTATCTCTTTTAAATCCACTCCAATCAGGCTCTCATCACTATGAGGTGTTCTTGTCGAGGTCACCCATGACCTGCTCATTGCCAGAGCCAATCATTTCACTTTTTACCTGACCCATCAATGGCTCTGGTCAGCTGATCAGCTCTTCTCAGAATACTGTTTTCAATTACAATCCAGGACACCACTCTCTAGGTTCTCCTTATTCACAGATGATGCTGGATCCTTCCCCACCTTCCACTAGTCCACTACCCCTGATCTATATCAGGTTTTGCCTGGATTATTATTGGGCACAGCCTTCTAACTTGTTTGCCTGATTCTACACTGCTGCACAGTGTACTTAATACAGCAGCCACACAGATCCTTTAAAAATATGTCAGATCATGTTACTCTAATATGCCAAAACCTCAGGTAGCTTTCTACATCACTCTCTTTTAATATCCAAGTCCTATCCATGGCCTTTAGACCCTACAAGATCTAGCTCCCTCCTATATCTGCTACTGATCCCTCATGACTATCATACTGATTCACCACAGCACAGTCATACGCTCTGCGTAGAGCTTGGTATCTCATAGATATGGAACATATTGCTTCCTTGGAATCTTGCCCTGATTGGTTCCTCTGTTTGGAATACCACAGAAATAACTACCTGGGCTGCTCCTTCACTTTCTTTAGGCCTCTGTTCAAATATCACCTTTTCAAAGGTGCTTTCCCTGACTACCTTACCTACCAATCACACTCCATCCTCCCAATCTTGTTCTTTTTCCCCCACAGGACTTATATTATGTATATGCCATCTGAACATATTTTTTGTCACCTCTATATCCCCAGAACCTAGAACAATATTTGATATTTAATTCAAATACTTATATACTGAATATTTGTTAAATTATATACTGATAATAGATTTTACTTTGTAACTTTTGATGGTAATTATCTTTGAGAATCCTACACTATAACATCCCTAAGTACAGCAATATCATCAACTCACATGCTTACTGCTCTGGTACTCAATTCCTTCTTCATTTCTGGCCCTTTAGGAGTTTCTGTCTTTTCTGTGAGTTCAGCTATGCATTAAAAACATGTTAATGATCATTCTAGCTTTCTACATGGTTATAGCAGGAGAGTTTTTGATTAGTTCAATTTAATGTAATACACCAAACTCCAGAACCTGTTACTCCACATTAAAAAAAAATACTTTCTGCAATATAAAAATAAGTAAAGAAGAAAAAAATATTTAAAATAGGGTGTCCCCTCACCACTGATCTGGATACTGCCAAAACTAAAGGACTGATTTTTTTTTTGTCATGGAAGGGGCAGCTGTATGCCCTCACTGGAAGAGAAACTTAATCTGGATATGACTTTCCTTTCCCTATATCAAATGTACCACCTTCTGTGAACTTGATGAATGCTTTCTTCACCATCATGGGATCCTACAAGACCCTGCTGGTGACCAAGGAGGAACTGAGAGCACTTATGCCCATGAGATTCACTAGTCTTATCATGTTCTCTAATCCTAAAGAAGCCAGCCTGATAAAAACAGGGAATAGCCAACTGAAGACTCAGTTATAGCATCAGCATCTTAGGGAGCCAGGTTTCTATTCTACAAGATCCTGTATGTGCCCTGAAATAGGAACCGTTAACTAATTTCTCTCATAGCCACAAATCTAGGAATCAAGGGATAGATGTCTCATTAAACCCCTAATGGCTGATTAATAAAATTTTTGCTTCTTGAATTGTATTAAAGGTCCTACTTCCCAAATAGGTGGAGTGGTGGGGAAGGGATAAGAGGCAGTGTTCTACTAGGGAATATAACAATTTCACTTAACTAGAAACTGAGACTGTTACTTGGCAATTTTGGATACCTCATGCCTTTGAACCAGTAGGCAAATAATGGGTTATCAAAAAGATGGTATGATTTATTCTGATTATCAAGAGAAATAAAGTTACTGTTATATAATGGGACCAGGAAGGAGATGTCTAAAACTCTCATAGTATTCTCATGTAAAGTGAAAAAAGCTAATGGAAGGCTCTATAATCCATTAAGACAGGATCATTAATGGACCATAATGTTAAAAAAAAAAAAAGTTTGTGTTACATACCAGGTAAAGAACCCCAACAAACCAAAGTTCTGGTTGACATCAGAGGTTTCTGTTCTCATTTCTGCTACAGGTCATGTGGCCACAGTTTATATTTTTAATTTCCTATTTCTACTACCCATTTCACATGTCCTCTATGTGCACCTTATAAAACTACATCCTAGCACTACAAAGTGTCGTCACCATATGGTACCATAACTGTGCCCTCAATGGCCCATTATATCACTTTATCAGGCTACTGGTATAGTAAATCAGAGTATAAAATAAAATATAGAAATGAATGAAAAAGGGAAAAAAACCCACCTGATCTCACAGCTAAAGTACTATATGTAGTCTCCCCAAAACAGAAATTCTACCACAAGATTTTATTCTACTTTTTAAGACTGGATAACAGAATTTATGTAACATGCATAGGGAATCATTTGGCCCCAGCAGAATGTAATGGAAGAAACACTGTACTAAGAAAGCAGAAGACCCTGAGTTCTAATGACAGTTTTCTTATTAACTAATGATGTGAACCTAAAAAACAAACAAAAGCCAACTTAACTCGAGTCTCACTTACCAAATATGTAAAATTAAAGTTTTCTAATGTTTTTTGTTATTTTTTTTAAAGCTGCATTTGATTTCAACCAAAATCTTACGAGAAAGTACAATATGTGAAATCAGTTAAATGATGACACATGGCCTTCAGACACCACAACAAAGCATAGTTTCAAACCTAGATGATAAACAAAATTCCCAACAATTAAAAAAATTCCATAATTTTCCTAACTAGTTGGCTTTAAAATAAAACAAAAATGCTTCTCTGAATGACCCTAAGGAGCAATCAAATTAAAATGGAAAATTATGTAAACTTGGAAGTTGTTATGATATTGAAACGAAGTGTAATGATGTAATGATTAATACAAACAGAAGATGGCAGACTTTAAAATATTTAGAGAAAGACTGAGGGTAGTAACTTGTTTTGTTCAAGGTATAGATTTGGGAGGCATAAGAAATCTAGTACATGTAAAAGATTTCTTAAATTGGCAGAAAAAAGTCTGGTATTTGCAGTAGGTAAATTCATAGTTTCTGATTATCAATTAGTTTGTCTAGTTAGCTTAAAAGATGTGCAGCTAACAAAATAATCAGATCTTTGTGGCAAAAATATAATCTACTGTTTTACTGACCTGGTTAATTAGTTTATAAAACAGTATGAGTATGGTCAGCTCAGATCAATTCCTTTAGTTAATACAGGCATAAAGACCAAGGCAGTATTTCCCATTAATTTATTTGGTTTTTAATAACAGTAAAATAAACACTTCATGAAATTATTTAAAGCTTGGGTATTTAAACTTTTAATAAAGTAAACATTATTTAGATTCTATAATGTACTTCTATTTTTATATATGAAAATATATAAAAATTTATTTCTGGAAATGGCCACTAGGTTTTTTATTAGATTTGAATGTACCATTAAACAAAGTATTTGGGTACTGAAAGAAAAATAACTTATGCAGAAAACAAACTATATTCCAGGAATTATATGGATACAATTATAATATACTTCTACATATATTCATAGTTTGGGTACTCTAACTCTCCTAGAGTAGAGAATGCATTAAATGTCTCACTATGGGGTTTATTTCTTTTATTATTTTTTTATTTTTTAAAGATTTTATTTATTTATTCATGAGAGACACAGAGAAAGAGGCAGAGACATAGGCAGAGAGAGAAGCAGGCTCCATGCAGGGAGCCCGATATGGGACTGGATTCTGGGACTCCAGGATCACGCCCTGGGCTGAAGGCAGGTGCTCAGCCGCTGAGCCACCCAGGTATCCCTCACTATAGGGTTTAAATGCTCATTCAATTCTGTTTTAAAAGCAGAAAGAGGGATGCTTTGATATGCATATAATACAGTACTTATTTGAAAGAATGAATGATGAATAGGAATTGGATATATCTCTAATTTGGCCATTTATATTTATTTAGGTTTGTCGCATCTTTTCAAAAGTAAGGAAAAGACCCTGTGATTAATGAACCAAAGTGTTTCTCTATCCATCAAAAATCATCATAGTTGGTGACTAGCTAAATGATTACATAAAGTTTGTACCACTATCAGTACTTTAATGCAATATAACTTTTTTCATGTCCCTGAAAGCAATAAAACATTTACTGTAAATACATTTACTCAACTTCTAAAATATATTAACAAATTCATGACTTACCTTCCAAGCATGGTAAGTACCAGAGGGATCAGTCTGATACAATCTTGGGATACCATCATCATCAAAACCTACAATTAAGGCAGAAATGCCAAAAGGTCTTCGTCCATTGCTTTGTGTATATTTCTGAAAAATAAAATGTTTTTATAACTACTTCCAGTATGAGGCCATACAAAGAACAGCACTATTACTTAATAATTACTTAACTAAGAAATCTTAATAATAGGGGCACCTCAGTGGCTCAGTTGGTTGAGCCTTCAACTCAGGTCATGATCTCAAGGTCCTGGGATGGAGCCCCATGTTGCACTCCCTGCTCAGTGGGGAGTCTGCTTCTTCCTCTTCCTCGCCTCCCTCCGCCCCAGTTTGTGCTGTCTGTGTCTCCCCCAAATAAATAAATAATCTTAAAAAAAATTAATAGTAAATAAGGTACTCCTGGTGCAATGATCTTCTTTGTCAATTCTTGTTATAAGATCCTCTTCCTTTTTATGGACTAACTTCAATTTATGATGAAATTTTAGTGAAATTAATGTATACAGTGTATAAAATAAAAAGTAAGTTTGCTTATATATGGTCTTAAAAGTATTTTTTGTTGCTTTATATATTTTTTCATGACATAACTGGATTGTAATCTTGTTAACATAGCAGAAAACCATATGTCACACCATTTTGGTTCCTCCTAGTAAAGCTGATTTTAATGAGCTGTGCTTTGGAAACAAGTTCTGGGGGTTTACTCTGAGAGACACTGTAATTGTTACTTTTATAATCAATATTCTTACTTGATACTATTATTATCAAGTATATTCTGTTCACTATATACCAGGTTATCTCTACAAAAAACCCAACTAAGACATTCTTTCAGTTCCTGAACAAGGAAACCTTTGTCTCTCTGGAAGAAAAAGCATGTTTTTTCCTCCCAGACAGCAGGGCACTGGAAACCAATTGTATTTCTTTTTTACTTTAGTGCTGAGAACTTCCTGGATAGTGCTCCAAAGAGTAGAATTCACACTAATTCTGAGACTGGTGCCCCTAGAAGTTGTGCAGAGGGCAGCCCTGACAGAAAGCTCAAACTCATACCTTTTTTTCATTTTTGTATTTTATTATGTATTTTTATTAGCTACCTCAAATTTGGAATGCAAATAGTTGGGCTACAAGGGTAAATAAACTATTAAAGAACAGAGTTTATGACTTCATTCTTTTGTATTTCCTAATATTCCTAGTTTACACAGAGGTATGAAAGGGATGGTTTGTAAAATATACCTCAGAAGAAAGACCCTTTCATTTGTTTAATCAATCATGTTTTTTTTTCTTTAATGAAAAAATAGTACTTGCATAGGGTTAAAGTAATTTAAAAGTATAAAAGTATACATAAAGGCTCTCCTTTGTCTCTGAGCCCCAGGCCCCTTCCCAGTAGCAACCACACTGTTACAGGTTTACAATGAATACTAAATGTTCTATGTGGAGGCTCTATAATACTAGAAGAAAAACTAAAAACCAAGGTTGGGAACCTTGTATACACAATGTTCTACATGTTGCTTTTTTGGTGGATACAGTGTGGACCTCAGCATCAGGCTTGAACTCATGACCCTGAGATCAAGACCTGAGGTGGGATCAAGAGTTGGATGCTAAGCCCACTGAGGCATGTAGGCACTCCAGTGGATACCTGTTTAACCACTGAGAAAATGAAAGCAAATAAAAAGAGCAGAGTAATATAAAAATGTTGGACTTCCTTGCAACATAAATTAAATTGAAAAAAAATAAGGTAACTCTTTATAAGTATGTAATTTAAAACTTTTAATATCTAGGATAGTTTATTAAAATAAATCTCTACATGGACTAATGTTAAAATCCATGCCAGAAATATTCTAAATGCTTTATGTGTATTAAATTATTTAATCCATAACGCAACTCAACAACATAGGTATAATTGTAATGTTTATTCTATAATAAGAAAATTAAGACAAAACAGGCTAACTAGTATGCTCACGGCACTAACTAGGAAGTAGGGAAGTAGCAGAGCCAGGATTCAAAACTCCCAAATTCTGGCTCCTAGAGGCACATTTTTTTTTTTCCCCTAGAGGCACATTCTTAATCACAGGAGTGCCTGTCAAAAGGAAAGACAGTTTACAACAGAAGAAATGAAAATAGCAAACCAACATGTGGGAAGAAAATCAACCTCACTACTGATTATAAAATACAATTTAAAACAACCACTATAGTACTATGTTATACTTACTTGAAAAATAAAAATGAAAACCCAAGGCTGATGATCCTTCAGGGATACATTTATGCATTGCTGGTTGCACAATAAAAATTGGTTCAATCTTTTTAGGAAGCAATTTAGCTACATATAACTAGTCTTAAAACCAATTATAAATCTCTAATCTAGTAATCTCATACTAAAAATTAATTTAATGATATAATTCAAAAAAGAGAAAAGCTGTGACAAAGATAGAGTAATGCTATTAAAGTACTAAATGAGAGAATGAGAAAGGGAAAGACTGGAAACAATCTAAATAATTACCAGTGAGGAACTGGAAACAGTATTTTATATAGTTAGTAAGAATGGTAAGTATGCATAAGGACTATGCTGACATAAAGGACACATAAAATGATAGAGAACAAATCCTTATATGCATCATGATTATACTTAATGTCAAACCATGTATCTACGTAAGGACTCAGAAGTCATATCCAGGGGCACCTGGGTGTTTCAGTTGGTTGAGTGTTGGACTCTTGATTTCAGCTCAGGAAATGATCTCAGGATTGTGAGACTGAGCCCCATGTTGGGCTATGCACTGAGTGTGAAGCCTGCTTACGATTCTCTTTCTTCCTCTCCTTCCTTCCCTCCCCATTGTATCTCTAAAATAATAAATAAATAAATCTTAAAAAAAAAAGTCATATCCAATGATCAATGGTGTTTAGGTTTGTAGGTGAAAGAACTATGGTTTTTTTTTTCTAGTAAACATTTAAAAAAGAGTTTTTATTACTGTATGTACAGAGGTGTAGAAATCTTAAATGAGATTTATTGCTTTTTTTAAATTTTAATATAATTCCTAGAATTGATTGTGATTGAGATTTCTAATGTTCAGATCAGTCCACTGGAATAAGAGTGTGAGTATGAAGTAAGTGTTAGAAGGAATAATGAGTTTAGTAGATTTAACAGATCAAATGACTGGAGTTATTGTAGCATTCCCATGATAGGAACCATAATGATGCAGAACCTGAGGAAATCTGTTGGAATATTGGCTTACCTGCTTTAAGGTTGCTATGAAGCGAGTTATATATTCTACAGTGACTGGGTCCTCAACTGTAAGCTTATGACTCTGGCACTCCACACGGGCTCTATTTATTACTACTCTAGCATCAGCAGTCAGTCCTGTAAAAATAAGTAATACAAAAACGAATGACTCTTTCCTGGTTAAAAGTGTTTTGTTTTGTTTTTAGCTACCATGAAATCTTTCTTGTAATATCATTTTTTTCAGTATATGTCTATTATAAATAATTTATAAAATAATATCACTTATGTGATATTCAACACTTAATCTGATGTATTAATATTTACTTTTTAAAGAAAATAGTTTGATTTTCTTAAGATTTTTTATTTATTTATGAGAGACACACAGAGAGAGGCAGAGACATAGGCAGAGGGAGAAGCAGGCCCCATGCAGCGAGCCCCATGTGGGACTTGGTCCCGGGTCTCCATCATCACGCCCTGGGCCGAAGACAGGCGCTCAACCACTGAGCCACCCAGGTGTCCCTAAAGAAAATAGTTTTAAAGAATAATAGGTAAACACTAACGTTAAGTAAATTTTCCCAAAGATCAAAATGTTTTAAGTCACAGTAGCTGGGCTGGTTATTAGTTTTTATTAAACATTTTCTAAAAATCTATGTAATCATATCTTCTTAAAATTATTTTTTGGGAAGGTATCAATGGCAGACTGATCAAAGGCTGATAGTTTATCCTGGTTCCAAAATCAATATACTCATTACTCATTACCCAAATCATTAAGTAAGCTGGATTTCTCCTTGTGGAAACATTACTTCATTATCAAACACATATCCGTTGAATTCAAACTGCATTCAATGTAACTGTGACATATGGATTTCTCTTAGGTTTTTGTCTAAGATTAAGGGTTTGAAAATCAAGAATGTTAAAACAGAAAAAGAAGACACTGTCTCCCTTTTGCCACACCAAAACATCATGTAATGAATTTGCAAAACCTCCATAAGGAAATAGAATGTTTCTATAAAAGTAACTGACCCAAAACTTAAGTGCAAGGGTTGCAAACATTTCTATTCAAGAGGTCTTTGGCATTTGACCTTTATGTGGCCATTTTCTTTCTCCATTCTCTCAATAGCACACTGCCAGGAAGATGCATTCACAAAATCATTTCTGACATAATCATCAGTCTTTTGCAGTCACAAACTAGTGTTCCACTTCCACACCATTTCAAATTGTGTTTCTACAAACCTGGAAGAATTGTCAATCCCTGAAGATAAATGGTAGTCAACAATGAAGAACCTGTCACAATGTGCCACTAAGAATCACTCTGACACTCATCGGTAGGGTGCATTTGAATCAGTTAGTTACAGAAAAAGTGATTCTCTGCTCTCTGCAAACATTGTATGAGAGAAGCGCCTGGCTGTCTCAGTCAGTTGAGCATGTGACTTTTGATCTTGGGGTGGTGAGTTCAAGCTCCACTTTGGGTGTAGAATTTACTTAAAAAATATATTAAAAATTTATAAAGGGATTTCTCAATTGGGTTTTCATATACAGGTCACTGAGTGTTCTCCTTAAAGCATTTATTTTTTTAAAAAAATGTTATATGAGGAGAGCCTGGCTGGCCTCATTGGTAGAACATGCTCTTGATCTTGGGGTTGTGAGTTTGAGCCCCGAGAAGGTAAAGTCTACATTATAAAAAAGGTTTAAAAATTTATTAATAAATGTTATAGGAGAGAAAAATGGGAAGAGATTAACTTTACCTATCCTATGGATTAAAAACTATACTCAATTGGAAAATGTGATCAGAAAGAATATTTCTAAGTTATTTCCTCTTTACTATGTAAATATGAACCAAAGCTACAGAAACATAAAAGTATGCTTAAACAGTAGTAACATAACTAATTCAAGAAAAAAATTAGTGATAAATTTGCCAAACCATATGAGTAATAGTTATGTGATTGTATTTGTTTATAATATAAGAAATAGCAATTACACTAATCTATACTAAATGGCTAGGAAAAAGAGAACTTCAATTTATTTTTTTTTAGGATTTTATTAATATATTCATGAGAGACACACAGAAAGAAGCAGGCAGAGGGAGGAGCAGGCTCCCTACAGGGAGTCCAATGTGGGACTCAATCCCAGGACCCTGAGATCACAACCAGAGCCAAAGACAGATGCTCAACCACTGAGCCACCCAGGTGCCCCAGAACAACTTCAATTTAAAGATAGCATTGAAAACTGCAATCTCATATTCTGTAGGTTAACTTTTAGTTTTGTTATTTCCTTCACTGTGTAAAAAGCTTTTTATTTTGATGAAGTCCCAATAATTAATGTTTGCTTTTATTTTCCTCGGCTCAGGAGAATATCAAGAAAGAAGTTACTGCCTCTGTTCTCCTCTAGGGTTTTTATGGTTTCAGGTCTCACATTTAGGTCTTTATCCATTTTGAATTTATTTTTTTGTATGGTATAAGAAAGTGGCCCAGTTTCATTTTTCTGCATGTTGCTGTCCAGTTTGCCCAACACCATTTGTTGAAGAGACTTTTTTTTGAGGCAGTCTTTTTCCCACTGGATATTCTTTCCTGCTTTGTTGAAGATAATTGACCATGTAGTTGTGGGTTCATTTCTGGGTATTCTCTTCTGTTCCATTGATCTATGTATCTGTTTTTGTGCCCATACCATACTGTTTTGTAATATTACTTTAAGTCTGGAATTGTGATGCCTGCATTTCTTTCTTAAGGTTTCTTTGGCTATACAAGGTCTTTTGTGGTTCCATAAAAGTTTTAAGATTGTTTGTTCTAGCTCTGTGGAAAACACTGTTGGTATTTTGTTTGAATTCATAATGAATGGATTGCATTAAATGTGTAGATTGCTTTGGGCAGTATAGACATTTTAACAATATTTGTTCATCCTACGTAATGGGAGAAGATATTTGTAAATGGCATATCTGATAAAGGCTTGTATATAAAATATATTAAAAAATTACAAAATCAAACCCCCAACATGAATATTCCAATTAAAAATGGGCAGAATATTAGTTGACCATAAAGTTGAGGGTCCACTTTTGGATTCTTTATTCTGTTCCATTGATCTATGTGTCTGCTTTTGTGCCAGTACCATACTGTCTTGATTACCACAGCTTTGTAGTACATCCTGAAATCTGGCATTGTGATGCCCCCAGATATGGTTTTCTTTTTTAATAATCCCCTGGCTATTCGGGGTCTTTTCTGATTCCACACAAATCTTAAGATAATTTGTTCCAACTCTCTGAAGAAAGTCCATGGTATTTTGATAGGGATTGCATTAAATGTGTAAATTGCCCTAGGTAGCATTGACATTTTCACAATATTAATTCGACAAAGGAGGAAAGACTATCCACTGGAAAGAAAAAAAACAGTCTCTTCAATAAATGATGCTGGGAAAATTGGACATCCACATGCAGAAGAATGAAACTGGACCATTCTCTTACACCATACACAAAGATAAACTCAAAATGGATGAAAGATCTAAATGTGAGACAAGATTCCACCAAAATCCTAGAGGAGAACACAGGCAACACCCTTTTTGAACTTGGCCACAGTAACTTCTTGCAAGATACATCCATGAAGGCAAGAGAAACAAAAGCAAAAATGGGGTGGTGGAAAGGGAGGTGGGTGAGGGGTGGGGGGTGCCTGGGTGACGGGCACTGAGGGGGGCATTTGATGGGATGAGCATTGGGTGTTATGCTATATGTTGGCAAATTGAACTCCAATAAAAATTTTTTTAAAATTAAAAATAAACAAAATGGGCAGAAGATATGAATAGATTTTTAAAGAAGACATGCAGATGGCCAACAGAACACATGAAAAGATGCTCCACATCACTCATCATTAGGGAGATACAAATCAAAACTACAGTGAAATATCACATCTGTCAGAATGGCTAAAACTAACAACACAAGAAACAACAGGTGTCGGTGAGGATGTGAAGAAAGGGGAATCCTCTTACACTGCTGGTGGGAATGCAAACTGGTACACCCACTCTGGAAAACAGTATGGAGGTTCCTCAAAAAGTTAAAAATATGACTATCCTATGATCCAAGAATTGCACTACTAGGTATTTACCCAAAGGGATATATATGCACCCCAATGTTTATAGCAGCATTATCTATAGTAGCCAAATTATGGAAATAGTTCAAGTCCCATTGGCTGATAAATGGATAAAGATGTGGTACACACACACACACACACACACACACACACACTGGAATATTATTCAGCCTTAAAAAGAACAAAATCTTGCCATTTGCAATGATATGGATGGAGCTAGAGAATATTATGCTAAGAAAAATAAGTCAGAGAAAGACTAATATATGATTTCAGTCATATCTGAAACTTAAGAAACAAATGAGCAAAGGGAAAAAAGAGAGACAATAGGTGAAATAGGTTTTGGGGATTAAACAGTGCACTTGTGATGAGCACTGAGTGTTATTAGAAGTGTTGAATCACTATATTATATACCTGAAACTAATTACACTGTATGTTAACTGGAATTTATTTATTTATTTATTTAACTGGAATTTAAATAAAAACTTAAAAAGTTACAATTTCACTTCTCTTATAAATAAGTAATCTATAGAAGAAAAAAGTCCTCAGTCTAGTGCTTTTAAATTCATACCACAACTTTATCTTGAAGATACTTTCACAGTGCAGAATTTCTACTTTTAAATGGAATTGTACATGGTACATGAAAGAACTATTTTTTCAAAATCTTTAATTTTTTTTCCCTTAGGGCTGTTTTCTTTTTTTTTTTTTAAGATTTTATTTATTTATTCTTGTGAGAGAGAGAGAGAGAGAGAGAGAGAGAGAGAGAGAGAGAGGCAGAGACACAGGCAGAGGGAGGAGCAGGCTCCGTGCAGGTAGCCTGACGTGGGACTTGATCCCTGGTCTCCAGGATCAGGCCCTGGGCTGAAGGCTAAACCGCTGAGCCACCCAGGCTGCCCTAGGGCTGTTTTCTAAACATTAAAGTACAATATAACAATATTGACAAAAGAATGTGATTTTTTCAAGATGAAACTTTTTTTCTGATATGCACTCATTGTAAAATATTCCAACAGAGGGAATAAAAGCTACTCTATAACTCCACAAGTTATAAACAAAACAATATTATACATATGTTTTTTAAAAGATTTTATTGATTTATTCATG